ATGACTTATAGCTACAGCTAAAAAAATAAATTGACTTTTATGGACCTTTCTGCCTCGGGCACCATAGACCTCCATTATTTGAATGTCAGCAGACAGCAAGAAGCCTCCCAGATCTCCAGATGCATTTGAGATATCAAAAAAGTACTCCAGAGTTTTGTTCAGCATGGGGGTGAGTAGAAAATGAAGGCTAATCATGTTTTGGGTGTACTATTCCTTTAAGACTTTTTAAATTAAGATAAACTCATCACTTTGACACAGACTGGCTGTTTCATAGCATCAGTATATTAACTTTCACTTATAATAAAAAAAAAAATCGGCCCATCACATTGCATAATCATTATGAAGTCTATGAAGTCTCTAAATCATGTAATATAACATTTTATACAAATAAATCACAGTAAAATTAATGTGTTAATGGAGCAGAATAATACAGATGTGCCAAAAGTGCCAAATTGATGATGTACATGTAATATACATGGATTTATTACATTATTTTAGTAATTATTATTATTACATATGATTTCAAGACTTTACATCAAGACAAGTAAATATCTGTTAATGCTGTACTATTTTCGTATTTGCAAATTGAGCATGAATGATGGCATAAACTTTTATGCTGTGTCTGTGCATTAGACTTTAAAAACATTTGAGTTGCTTTTTTCCCCCTGAAAATAACATGCAATATATTTCAGCGCATAACTTTTTCAAATGAGAAATACAACAAACACTACAGGAACGACGGCATCATCCACTTAATAATGAATTACTACATTCACATTTCACAGTGAATCACTTTCTATTTACTCTATTTTCTAACGTTAGACACAATGTCAATGTCTTCGAGTCAGTTTGAAATAGCCAGACTAATGTTACGCTACAGACAATACAATGTGATACAAAGGCATATAGATGGATTTTCTTGGTTAGAACATCCACTAACTCTAAATTATCTGTGGAATGTCTTCCCACAGCCAGCTACAGAAGAGGATTAGGGCCACTGGAAAAAAAAGAAGTTAACTGATTTTTACATTTTATTTCAGTTTAGTATGGGAAAAAAGTCAGAATTCTGACTTGTTTTCTCAGATTTCTGACTTTAATCTAAGAATTCTGACTTTTTTTATTGTCAGAATTCCAAAAAGTCAGAATTCTGAGATTAGAACATCTGCTAACTCTAAATTATCTGTGGAATGTCTTCCCACAGCCAGCTACAGAAGAGGATTAGGGCCACTGGAAAAAAAAGTTAACTGATTTTTAAATTTTATTTCAGTTTATTCATTCTTAAATTCATTCTGACTTTAATCTATGAATTCTGACTTTTTTATCTTCAGAATTCAGTCAGAATTTAAAAATCAGTTAACTTTTTTTTTTTTGTGGCCCTAATCCTCTTCCGTAGCCAGCAAACTGCTTGTTTTTGCAGCCAAATGCTTCATAAATTGGCAATTTTACTGCGTGTCTCCGTGGGATTGGGGAGTACCAACATGGTGGCTTCACTTCACTTCACTTTTTTGGGGCTTTCAGCAATCCAGTGAATAAACAGAGATCAGTGAGTGGCACTCCAGGGCCGAGGTTGCCTACCGCTGGTTTAGTCTGATTCCTGCGTATTCGACAACAGTTCAGCTCAGCATGATGCATCCTCTGCGCTCTTAGGACACCTCTATCAGTCTGAACTAACTGGATCTGCTTTAGTTTCATATCAATAGTTTTAAAACATGCATGCATTCAGATTGCATTAGCATCTTACAGAAGAGCAATGCTGAAGCTTTGATTGCTTGTTAAAACTGCAGCATTCGTTCTGCTGGATAAGCTGACTGATTTTTAAAAACTTTCATTTACTACAGAACTGCTGAATATGTTCATTTCTTGACAGGAATTTGCAGGAGAAGGGCTTCGGACGCTAGCTCTCGCATACAAAGATCTCAGTGAAGACTATTATGAAGTCTGGAAGAAGAAGCTGTACCATGTGAGCACCGTGATTGAGAACCGGGAAGAGCAGCTGGCTGTCCTGTACGAGGAAATTGAGTGGGACATGAAGGTAAAATCGACATCCTTCAGTCTGAAGCAGTGACTCTTCTTCTGCTGCTACAGACTGACTGCTGGTTCTGTTGAAGCTTCTTGGAGCCACGGCAATAGAGGATAAACTTCAAGATGGAGTGCCTGAGACAATCGCCTGCCTGAATCTAGCTGACATCAAGATTTGGGTCCTAACAGGAGACAAACTAGGTAGCAAATAAGTAAAGAAATCTGGATTATGAATAGCTGTATCTGTGGAGAGTTACAGAAATGTAACTTTGTTGCCTTAGAGACGGCGATGAACATCGGCTATTCCTGCAACATGCTGCGAGACGACATGAATGAGGTGTTTGTTATCTCTGGACTCACACAGCTGGAGGTGCAGCAGCAGCTCAGGTAAATTACCATGTTGATACAACAAGCTAAAAAACACAGCAGCAGCTCTGGAGAGGGTCTGCTGTGCGCAGGGCGCCGTTTGTAAAGTGGAGCAGTCAAAAATTAGGAGCAATATTTATGGTTATTTAGCGCGTTTTAAGAAAAAAAATTAGGTTATTTTATTCCAAGTCATTTTTTCATTATGTCATTCATTCATTTATAAAAATCTTACTTTGTTAAATATTTAGTTTGCAAATAAAATATTTAGTTTATTAAATAAATATTTAGCTCCAAACTAAATATTTAGTTTGTTAAATAAATATTTGGCTCCAAACTAAATATTTAGTTTGTTAANGCTCCAAACTAAATATTTAGTTTGTTAAATAAATATTTGGCTCCAAACTAAATATTTAGTTTGTTAATGTTTAGTTTGCAAACTAAATATTTAGCTTATTAAATATTTAGCTCCAAACTAAATATTTAGTTTGTTAAATGTTTAGTTTGCAAATTAAATATTTAGCTTATTAAATAAATATTTAGCTCCAAACTAAATATTTAGTTTGTTAAATAAATATTTAGCTCCATACTGAATATTTAGTTTGTTAAATATTTAGTTTGTTAATGTTTAGTTTGCAAACTAAATATTTAGCTTATTAAATATTTAGCTCCATACAAAATATTTAGTTTGTTAAATGTTTAGTTTGCAAAATAAATATTTAGCTTATTAAATAAATATTTAGCTCCAAACTAAATATTTAGTTTGTTAAATATTTAGCTCCATACTAAATATTTGGTTTGTTAAATGAATATTTAGCTCCATACTAAATATTTAGTTTGTTAAATGTTTAGTTTGCAAATTATATATTTAGCTTATTAAATAAATATTTAGCTCCAAACAAAATATTTAGTTTGTTAAATATTTAGTTTGCAAATTAAATATTTACTCTATTAAATAGATATTTAGCTCGAAAGTAAATATTTAGTTTGCAAATTAAATATTTAGTTTGTTAAATAAGTATTAGCTCAAAATTTAATATTTAGTTGGTTAAATAAATGTGTTGCTGTGTTTCCCTGAGGGAGATAATTGTCCTTCTCAAACAAATTGTCAGGATTTGGTTGTTGGTTTGAGGACCCAAATGCAGAGGCAGGGAGGCAGAGGTGAGTTTCTTGTTGATTTAATAAAATGTTAACAGACAACTGAGGCAGGAATCCAAAAATCCAAAAATGAAGCATGAAAAAAGTAAAAACAAACCAGAAACCATGGAGACTTCAGGGGAAAACAATCACGACGAGGAAGACACAGTGACCCTAATCACAGGTGAAAACAAGACAACAAATGATGTAGAAGTGATTGCCATGGCAACGCAAGCATAAAAAGAGAAATATTCTCTGAAATCTACATGCATCACAGAAAAGCGGTGGATTCATGAGTCTATTTATGAAATTCTCTCTAAAATGTTATTCTGTTAAAGTTTTTTTTTTTTATTTCATCTTGCAAAAATGGTCATGTTACGTAAAAAATAGCCAAAACCAATATGCAGTACTACAGCATGAATCTGGTTTATAATCTGGTTTATAATCAGGTATATAATCTTAAAAGATCAAAGCCCTGATTTGCTTCCTATATTTCTAGTATCTATTTCAACAGAACCATTGAAAATGCATAAAATGCATGTTTAGCAGCATTCCTCCCTCTGCAGGAGTGCTAAGGAGCGCGTCATCGGTCTGAGCCGGCTGAGCAGCACAGGAGGCGCTGAGAAGGACGACATGTTTTTAGAAGATTCAGTTTTTGAAGAAGCCATCATTGCAGAGTATGCCTTAATTATCAATGGCCACAGCTTGGTAAGATATAATTAAAATGCTTTTTAAATTTTCTTTATTTGTGTGTGTGTGTTGCAGGTTTTTAACCATTAAATAGTAGTTTTGTTGTTTTTTTGCTGAATACTGCATCTGTCTTTACCTGCTGCTAAATAAAGTGTAATTAGCAGAGAGCTGCTGGGCGGCTGAGTCCTGACAGATGTATTACAAGTTTTCATGAACATCCATTTCCTTACCCCCTGCAGCTCTGGTTAGGTGCATGATGGGAAATGCTACGTTGGGCTGTGCTGCCTCAGCAGGGATACTGCAGCTCTGCAGAGATACAATATGTTAAGCAGGTGTGTTGTGTGTGTGTTTGGCCCCGCCAGGCTCACGCTCTGGAGCCCCAGCTGGAGCAGACGTTGCTGGATTTGGCCTGTTTGTGTAAAACGGTCATTTGCTGTCGGGTCACGCCGATGCAGAAAGCTCAGGTGGTGGAGCTGGTGAGGAGGCACAAGAGGGCCGTCACGCTGGCTGTAGGAGACGGCGCCAACGACGTCAGCATGATCAAAAGTAAAGCTGTTTATAATATAAACATTATTCCCTGAAACAAAACAAAAAACACTGTTTACTGAAGATTTTTGAAACCCTCATTGATAAAAACGACTGACCTCACACTCATTGCTCATCTGAAACCAAGAAAAAGCTTATGCCGTATGCTAACCCCCTGAAGGGAAAAATAACTTGCTTTACAAGCTTTTATGAATTATACATCCATGTTTGTGGAAATAGATAAGGATAACACTGTCACGGCTGAGTGGAGGTTTTTGAGGACCGAGGTAAGTCTTGCAAATTTAATGAGGCACTTGAGCAAAAATTCAAAATACTGAGAACCAAAAAGAAGATTACATCAGGGATAACTCACGAGGGAAGCCAGAGACGAGGGAACAACAACAAAAAAAAGAGATCAGCACTGAATGGCTGCAGAGGTGGTGTATATATTGAGAGACTGAACCAAGAAAGGTGGTCGATAGTCGCTACCAGATCACTTCTCTTCTGACACGAACATTTTGTTCTCATCAGATGCTTTTTATCCTCTGTCTTCATCTGTTATCATTAATTATACCTTTAATGTGTTTGTAAATCACAACTTTATAGCGGAGATCTGAAATGCATTTTTAGACATCCAGAATGTTTATTTCTGATAGAAGTAATAATGTTGTTTCAGATATCTGAATGTTCATTTTCGATAGGAGCAATACTATTAAAGATATATGAAATATGAACAAATCTATGTAAAAACGGCTGCAAAAAAAAAAATTAAGATTTGTAGATATCTGAAATGTAGTTCTTACTAGTACAAATTTGATTCCAAAGTGTTTAAAATTTAATTTCTACTGGTAGAAATGCAATAAGTGATATCTAAAACACAACTAGCTGACTAGTCAGCCGCCTATTTGATGTTAAAATAGAGCCTCCAGATGTATCTTTTTAACAATTAGCCTTCAGTCAAGCTAATAAATTTTAAAATGGCCTGCCATACAAACACCTAAAGAGACTTTTGAGAAACCAATTAACCTAACAGTCATGTTTTTGGACTGTGGGAGGAAGCTGGAGAACGACCCTGAGCCGGGAATTGAACCCAGAACCTTCTCGCTGCAAGGCAGCAGTTCTATCCACTGCATCAATGAGCAGCCAGGAATAAATAAACCTGGTTTAATCATGCACCCTAGCACCTCCCTTAGTTTTGAGCTTATAGGTGTTGTCTTTAAAATGCAAACTTGTTGTTCCATATTTCTATAATGTCTAAAGGAAAGTGAACCACATTGTACTTGTTCCTTTTGCTGCTTCAGCCGCCCACATTGGTGTAGGCATCAGCGGACAGGAGGGGATGCAGGCCGCTCTGGCCTCAGATTACTCCTTCGCTCAGTTTCGATTCCTGCAGAGGCTCCTGTTGGTCCACGGCCGCTGGTCCTACTTCCGAATGTGTAATTTCTTGGCCTACTTCTTCTACAAGAACTTTGCCTTTACCCTGGTTCACTTCTGGTATGGCTTCTTCTGTGGTTTCTCAGCACAGGTAAGGAAAGTGTGATATATAATACAATCTGAGGCCAGTTTTTATCAATGATCTTCATATAACTCCTTTCTTTCCACAGACTGTGTACGACCAGTGGTTCATTACACTCTTCAATATTGTCTATACATCTCTACCAGTGCTGGCAATTGGACTTTTTGATCAGGTATCGTTAAAAACAACAAACAAATAATAAAACACTTGCATAAAATAAAAAAATAATAATAACTGAAATTTATTTATCTCTCATTGGAGAAATTAACCTCTGTTTTTAACCCATCCCCTTGGTGAGCAGTGGGCTGCTATTGTGCAGCGCCAAGGGAGCAATCAGGGGTTAAAGGTCTTGCTCAGGGACCCGGAGTGGCAGCCTGTGGGAGTGGGGCTCAAACTCAGAACCTCAGTATTCCAAGCTCTATGCCCTAACCACTAGACTAGTTTTGTACTAAAAGTAAACTTTAATCTACCTCCGTGGGCGTGTATCCCTTTAGCCATGTACAAAAAAAAAATAAAAAATTTAAGGTCAGATCGCCATACGCTTCAAAAAACACCAAATAGTAAGTAATTAAATCATTTTTGGTTTTTTTGTACATGGCTAAAGGGATACACACCCAATGAGGTAGTTTAAAGTTTATTTTTTGTACAAAACTAAAAGGATAAATACAAATCTGTTGTCTTGCGCATTGAATATGGGTATGCTGGTCTGACCATGTATGCTCATCTGACAGAACACCTCCACTCCCTGTTGCATTCAATATGAATGTATTTATTCTAAAATCAATGCAAATCTTTGTATTGCAGTAGATGTCATTTCATGTAGACTCATATGTTAAAAACAACCTTTAACTCAAGTACAACTGTTCTGTTATTGACCCCTTAACGTCGACTAAAATTTTTTCTGTAAAAGAAATGTAACTAAAGCTTGTTTTTAATTATTTTTGTAATTTTCATTGGTTGTTAGAAGGTTTCTGATCTTTTAGTTAGAAACCCGTTTCTCTAAGACACTCTTTAAAAAAGAGAAAAACTGGAAAAAATGCACTAATATTTGAATCAGATGGTGTTAATCTATGTATAGCCTATATATATATATATATATAAAAAAAAATATGATTATAAAACAACATGGGAATAATCCCTGGTGGAATTTTAAATCTAAATTTATTTGTTTACACAGCTATAAAACAAAAAGTATTTGTGAAAAAATAGTTTTGAAACAGGTTTTAGAAATCTTAAAGCCCCATTTGAAAGGCATGTGGATGAAACACCATGTGACTGTGTTTTGGCCATTTCTATAAATAGATAAACATCAGCTGAGCCCGGAACCGTGCCCGCCGGGCTTAAGAGTTTAATCAGTTTCCTATTGACAAAAGGAGGGTTGCACAAAGTACTTATATTAGAAATAAATATAAAAATAAATAAGAAATAAGAAATCTGGCACCAGTGATTTTGTTAAAAACAATCATTTCTTAATGTGGATTCTTATCCCTTTTCTGAATGGATGCATTTAAAGGTTTGATATTTTTATATGAAAGTATCAATTGCAATGAAAGGTTTGTTCATTTAGTTTGTTTGCACAATTTTGTTGTGAAAGTAACACATAAAGAAGATGCTTTATATAATTAAATGTCTCCACTATTTAAGACAGAGTCAATTTATCCAAGTGAATATTTAGTTGATTCGATGCTTTATCACATATTAAAGCTGCAGTATTACAGTATTTGGTTTATTTTCTTTACTTT